AAAGTGCATTTCCAGCATATATTGGCCTGTCAAATTAAAATAAAATATTACTTGACGTTTCTCAATCGCAATCATTTTAAAGACGAATGAGCAGAAACATGCCGCCTCTAGCACCTAGCAGAACCTAGAAGAGAGATCACTTCCGAGATGCGCATAACTTGCCCACTATAATAATGTTAAATCTTTCAATATCATGCATTATGCGATTTTGGATGCAACAGAAATTGGAAAATGGCCTGCACAAGCATGTTTCCAAGCTCTCAACATCAACCAGTATGCAAACGTCCATAATTTGAAATCAACATAAAGGGTATGAGTTAAGATTTTTTAACTCAGATTTTTTAACTCCACTTGTAAAAATTTTATTATGGTAAGCCCCATCAAGTGCATGAAAGCACAATGCAATGAGCAAGTGATCAACATCGTTTCCCTGGCAAAAACAGTCTACACATACCTGACAAATCGATGAGAATCAGAAATTTCAACCACATCAGTAATTGGGGAAACATCCAAAAGCGCAGCTGCCCGTGGCAGTATGTTCTTCCCGAATGAACTGGATGACGCAACCACATGCGAGTAGCCGCCACTCTGCTGAGCCAAATGGACTAATTTAGCCCAAGGTTCCGCCAAAGGATGTGTAAACACGTCTGAATCAGCCACAAGCACCTAAATAAACAAATAACAGCAATCAACTATCAGAACTCCAAAAAAGCCTTGTTGCCCAAAACTCTAAACTTAAAACCCATTTTAAGCAAACAGCACCGCCCGTAAATTTGAAGCACCTGTGAAACCGAAGGATGACAAGAAGCAGCAGTTTTAGCAGCTTCCCGTAAGGAAGAACCACAGCCAGCCAATAGCAACGAAATCGAGTTTTCTTTGCTCAAAGATTTTGCAGCTTCCACTGCACTAAAGCATGCGGGTTTCACACTACCGCCTTCTATTTCAACCAAAACCAATGTGCTAATCTATTTACATACAACCAAAAAGTTGCTAAATGTTAGCAAAGCAAACTTAATGCTCTACAAATTGTGTTAAAACAATCCCTTACGTTTTACAGATCGCATTAAAAACCTCCCCAATAATTGTGTTAAAAAAACCTCCCACCTAAGAAGGTTTGAACACGATTTTTAAAGCGTAAGGGATAAGAATAGTATTTCTGAAAACAGAGGTTAAAACACAACTTTTTTTTTTTTTTGGAAAAATTAAAACACAACATTTCGATAAAACATATGGGATGTTTTTCTTATGATATTACAAGCAAAAGCAATACCCAAATTCAGTATTTTATGTTATCTTCTTACAATAACAACAATAAAAGAGGGGGACAAAAGATAGAATTTAAGTTCTGAAGCTTTTGCGACTTTGGTAATGTTTTACGTAATAAAAGCAGTATTTTTCTTCCAATATATAATCTTTAACATTCTCTAATATAGAAAACCAGCTAAAAGCTTTTCTTCGGATGTAAAAACATATTACTTGAAACAAAAAAGAAAATTTGGGATTAATTTCTGATGCTTATTTCAAATTTATAAATAACTTACACAATAAAAGCAGAAACAAGCTCAAGCTCAGACTTTTTCTTCCAACATTTATCTTTTTGCTGTTATTTGCAGATTTATTGAACAATAAAGGGAGAAACAACAATGATCTTATGAATTTCGTATTCTACAATAAGTGCATGAATCAATGGCGAAAGAGATGGAAAGATGTTGACTAACTGATCGAGAAGTCGAGGAAAGAAAGAGAATTTGAGATGCTGATGAAGGGCCAATTCTTCTTCTGAGAGCTCTGAGCACGGCGCTGCTC